TGAGAGGATTGGTGGTGCATTTATTGGACTTTTCTCAATTTTTCTCTCTCTCCCCCAGATAATGGTTTTTCAAATCTGGGTTCATATGGTGAGTGCCAAAAAGTATAAATGCACAGTACAGAAATGCTGACTAATGCATTTATTACATGTGTTTCTAGTGAGTTGTGATGCCCCCAGCTACATAATGAACTTTTGGTGCAAAGTAGCCTAACATTCTACATTATAAATCGTATCCTGCAAACTAGCCAGCCAACATCAGCATTTCACAATGTGCTAATAAGTTCTGTATATTGATAAGTGTTGTCACTTGTTGCTTTTAGGACAGTGGTGAATCTATTGGCTGATAACTTACAGGTGGTGAGAATTATTATTTTTCTCCCTGATGGAATGTTGAATTACAAAATTTCCATAAGTGGAGGAGGAGTTATAAAGTTCAACTCTGGTTAATTCTTCTTGATCGGCCAGTTCCTAGTAGTAATGATGTACAACAAGTTAAATTAAAGGATCGTTAAAGTTGCTAAATCAAACATTACGAAATGCCCAAATTAAGGTTGCCTCTGCAAGTGTAGTTCAGCCTCTTTGTGCATCTGCATTATGTTACAGTCTCTAGTTACGTCATCACGTACCATTTATTCTATAGGACCCCTGCATCATTCAGTGCACAAGATGGACAGCGAATGAAGCAGAGGGTAAGCAAGAAGGGAACAGACATTCTTTTATATTTAAGACACTAGATTGGGACTCAGAAGAGTTGAATTCTCTCCTTGGCTCTGCCACACACTTCCTACATGATACTGGCCAAGGCTGTCATAATACGTATATATGTGTAAGAGGGCTGAACTCAGATTGCACAGGCAGCCTTACTTCTAGCACTTCCTAATTTTTGGAGTGCTTGGCTTTGCAACCTTAATGTTCTTTTAATGTAACTTTGTGTATGTAATAGATAATTCTTTAGAACCCTTAAGTGTCTGTTTTAATACTCAACCAAATGACACAAAATGTTAATTCCTTACTATCAGAGATTATGATGTAGTCTTTTGTAATTGCTGTAGAACAGCCCAGCTTCATGACCAGCTCATCTGTTCCCCTTATGAGAGATGAACTTATACACTAAGTCCTCTCTAGTGTAGGTAGCATTTAAGTTTTACAGTATAACTTGAAGATTTTATGGCTGCATCTGCCATTTTTGAAATCGCATAAAAATCATCCCTTTGTAGCCAAAGATACCTGTTTTGATTCTCTCCTTCTCTCCTAATTTTATTAGTAGACACTGGACAAAACTAGTGGACATTGTAGTTATTTTTTCTTCTTACTGGAAAATAATTGATTAGACTTTTTTTTTTTAATTGCTACATCTCTTGTCAGTGGAAAGCTTTCCCTCTTTAGTTTCAACAAACTGATTTCTTTAACTCTTTTGTAGTTTTTTTTTTTCCAAAGGATCCATGATTAGTTTCTTTATTTTTTTCCATATTGTTTAATATATTAAAGCAGGGTGTGTTAAATCAAACCGATTTAAATCACTAATTTTAATCTTGATTTAAATCAAGTTTTCCTTCTTGCTGACTTTAATCATCAGTTTTAATTATGTTTTGCACTTGTACTTTTTATTTTCCTAAAGAAAGGTTGATTCTGAAAGGTTGGTAACTGTTAAATATGTTGATTTGCAACTAAATAGAGCCTCTACACTAAATTTGGTGTGCATTTTTGCCGATCAGGATACACTATACATATTTATTTAAGCAATTATATAGCTTAATTTATATTTATTCAAATTCTTAATTTTTACATTTTTGTTATGGTAAATGATGCATTTCTTATTTACTATATTAATATTTTATTTGTGATTTGTGTCAAGCACTGTTTGAATTCAATTAAATGTACAAAACCAGCATTTTATTTTTTATTATATATGACTCCCTTAAAAGTGGTGGACACACACATTTTTCAAACATTATCAAAAAATGTTTTGCATTTAAAACTGATTTAATGAAGTATCTGTAGTTAGTGAATCAAATTGATTGTTTCTGGTTATTCTATTCTTCAAGATTTTAGAACTAATAGATCTCAACCTCTTATACCTAATTATTATTCATAGGTTGGAAGAGGAAAACAAGCTTTCCTGCTTTTTTCAGTTCCCAGTTGATTTCATAACTTTGAATGAACTAGTCATTGAACCTAACTAGTTGAATAAATTGAAATGAAGAAGCTACTGCTGTCAAAAGCTGGTTTAGCACTTCAATAAACTCGGGTTCCAGGTGCCTAGCCAGTGATTTCCAGCAGTTCAGTGGTCTGACTTCCTTTAAAGCTTGGCAGAATACATGTACTGTGTAATATTATTTTTGGTATTTAATTTACATGATTTTAATAGATTATAATAAATTTAGACCTTAACTTAGGTTTTCAATTTCAAATTTAAAGTGTGTTCATTTAAAAAAAAATCACCTGTATTTAATTTAAATAAAAATATTTGATTTATTTATTTATTTAAATCTTTGGGGTTTTCTCAACCTCACCAAAGTGCTGTTCTTCTTGTGAAATATGTAACTGTATTTGTTAATATGAAAAAAGCTGGAGTTATCCTCTTAATGAACAGAGCATGATATCCTGTGCAGTGCTGTTTACTCATGAGTTGCCAAAAGAGAGATTCATATCTTATGTAAGCTTCATGGTATAAATATACTTAGTACATTCAGCATTGATTTTCTTCATATCCTAGAGAAAAGAAAGAACGCAAAGAGAACATATATTGGACAAGAAAACTGAAGTAACTTATTAGATTATTTATTAGTATATTAGATTCTGTATACATACAGAAAGTAAGAAAGATACATCCAAATGTTTAGCACGTGCAAGTTTCTTGTTGCACAATTAGCTCCCTTCTTGGGAGTGGAATTCAATGAAATAGGACTCCAATTTGAAAAACAAACAGTAAGCACACAACAAAGGATAAGCAATTAAATGGTTAGCCAGAGGCTAATAGAAATGCATGGGAAGAGTGACATTGTGTATTAGCAGAAAATCTAAATTTGATATTAATCTGAAGCTTTCTACAGCTGAAGTTGCAATAGAAATTATAATTTTAAAAAATCTTTCTGAAGGAGATAAGTGTCTGAAACTTCAGACCTGCGTACGTAGAATGAATTGTATAATACAAGTAAGAGAGAGACTGATGGACAGTTAATGATGAATTGTAAGTTACCGTTTCTTGACTTCAAGGGTTTTTAAAATCTGCCTTTTTGTATGCATGTATCTGTAGGTCAACATCAGAAAATTTAGTTCTTTGTCTTCTTCCTAGGGTAATACTGATATTTTAAAAATTATATTCAATTATACATATTCTTATATAGCACATACCTTCTAATTTCGGTAATAAAAGAATCAAATTGGTGACACCAAATAAAATTTCTCACCAGGCCTTATCAACAACTGTGTGTCAACAGGGAAAAACAGTTCTAGATTGGAAAAATCTGAGCTTTTTAATACAAAGAAGTGAATATTTCCTTATTTAGTGACCTAGCAACTGTTTTTAATTTAACCTTGCTGTAGGTACATGTCACTTTGTATTAATACATTTCACTTTCTTTATAGAGACCACATTCCTTCTCTTCAGAATTTACCATTAACTGTTTCAGTGCTGCAGCTTCTGTGATTACTAACTTTTAAAGATTGTAACAGTCTATTTTATTTTTTTATTGTGTCTAATCTTAAAATCAGCTTTCAGAAATGCGCTGTATTTGGTTTCAACTTAAGTTGATTAAAACCCCCAAAATAATTGAGTATACTGGAGTAATCTTTAATCTTATTAAATCCAAAAAATGTTTTTCAGATTTTAAAAATATTTAAAGCTTTTTTAGCAAATTCCTAAAATCATTCAGTTCTGAAGGGTGGAAGGGTACCTTCATAGTAGTTTTAGGTGTGTCTTATAAGCTACTGTAAAACTGAACAAATCACTGAGTAATTTTCGGTTGGTCTTGGAACTATATGTAAACCTTTACAGACAGTGAAGACACAGTAACATGAGAAGTAGCCTCTTCTAGAGGCTAATGGGTTGTAGATGAGATAATATATTAATGAGTAATAGCAAAGAAAGTTGTAAGAGTTGTTGTTTACCCCCAAGGCCTTTTTACAGAGCGTAATGATTAACTGTATATGTTTGTCTATATCATTGCCCTCATCTAAACAGAATCGTAAATGCTTAATTGTGTATCATAGTTCCTATGCTGCTGACAATTTAATAGAGATTCTTCTTTGACTCTAAAGTGTTCTGTGCTTTTTAAGCAGGAGGAACAGAGTTCTGTCTCTGTTATTCCCATGATATTCCTAGTGGCCATGGTATGCAGGACAGGGATAACCTTTGAAGTCCTAGTTGGCTACATATTTGTTATAATTCCTTACCAGAAATATTAGTAATTTTGTATTGTAAAAATATATCAATCCTGTATTTGCCTAAATTGCTGCAATGTGTATTAGATATTAGTGTACTGACTGATTTAAAAAAAAAATCAAAGGACATCATTTTAAATATTTTCTAAATATAAATAATTGTCATGATTTGTTCACATAATTTAGTACCCCACAGATATTTTTTCATTTATAAAAGAAGGGTGAAGAGAACATGCTGCAGCCAGGCTACTGGTTGTAGATCAAGTTTAAGGAAGAAAGCTTAGCAAGAAATTCCTTTTTTTTCCAACTTGTATGGTTTTTTCTCCATTTTGTTTCATACTATTTTTCTTTAGTATCCTATAAAATGTTCCTTATTTCAAGATTCTCATGTGGTAGTAATCTCTTTGCTGCTTTAGTTAACGGGTGTAATGCATGTGGATTTGTAGATATTTCTAATGGAAGTATATGAAAAAAAGCATTAATTTTGTCTGTGGTGCCACTGAGTCTAATAACTAGCTGGGATGTTACGTTCCAACCACTCTGGGCAAGCCATGCTAATTGTAATTACTAGAGATGCTAGTATTCCAGTACTAAATCTGTTCCACTTCTATTCACAGCTATGTCATCTTATCTTTTAATTGTTAAATCTGAACTGCCTGGTGCAATTGCAGGATTCATAAGTGGAAATGACAGCGGGTAAGAGAAAAATGTTTCAAACATTATATAATGGAAGAAAGCAAGTCCTGTAGAAGGAGTCCATCTCTGTTGCAAAGTATGGATACCAACATTTCCCTTTGATTTCACACGCTAAAAAATTAGTGATTTACAGGAGTTCCTGGAACACAGAATGATGTTGGCATGTTTAAGAGTTCTTCATCACATACAAAAATAGAGCCTGATTCTCTTCCCTCATAAATTTCACATTACTTTAACTCCATAGATTTTAGTGAAGTTATTCCCAAGTAGGAAATTAGGCCTGTAATTTCTGAGCTTGATTTTGCAGCCTTTGAAGTCAAAACTCCATCCAAAAAAAATCTCTCTTTCTACATCAGGAAGCAAGAATCTTGTGAGAACTGAGCTTGAAAAGCGAAGGCAGAAAAAACCAAAACGTTTAAACTTCTGTCATGTTATCACTTTGCATATTGTTAAACCGCAATACAAAACCCATCAGGCATTCAAATTTAAATATTTGTTGTCTTGCTTCAATAATTGGACTTGTCTTGAGAAACATGCCAAGTTTTCAAACATGGTTTATAATTCCCCAACTTGGTTTCCATTAAAGAAATTATGCTTTGGAAGTACAGCTATATAGTTGTATATAGCAGGCAATGTACATTAGATCTGAATCAGATCCATCACAAGAAAACTGGCTCTGCTAGCTAAGAAAAACGTTCCAGCTTCAGCATTAGAATATCTTATTTTGGTTGTTACGGTGCTGTCACCATTCATAACAATATGTTTTAGGTTGTGTTATGGCTGTTTTGAAACTCTTATTTTAGGAGATTTTTTCACTCAGTTATAACATTTTTCTCTGGGCTTAAGCTCAGTATACAAACTCTGACCGAGAGACACTGTGTATGCGAGTGATACAGACACAGTACATAAATGTTGTAGTGCTTACTTTAAAAAATGTTATTTTTGCTTAATTTAATTTTTTCAATTTGATACTTTTTTATGGTTATAATTAAAAACTGTTGTCACTTAGGGAAAGAGCAGTCTGTGATAGTCTGAATTTTTTTTTTTTAATAATAGAGGTCATTAACCTATTAAAGCACTGTATAAAATGGTCATGTTTTGTGTTTGCTTTTAATTTGGAAAATATTGCCATAAGCTTGAAAAAAAGATGTAATTGTTGTCTTTAACATTGTAACTAATGTCATCTTCCACCTTCAACCTGATATTTTAAGCCCTCTCTGAGCACTGTGACATTAAGCATATTGAATTGATTGGGTAAGTGTTATGTAAAAAATTCTTTATTTTTGCAGTCCAATATAACCAGACATTTACTATTGATTTTACTTTACTTTTAAATAATGGTTGTGTTCATTCAGAGTTGACTCTTTCCAACAAAAATTTATAATAATTAAAAGTTGCTACAATCCTTATCTTTTCATAATTATTGGCATTCATATAACAGTAGAATCTAGAGGCCCCAATCAGGAATGTGGTCCCATTCTGCTAGGCACTTTACAAGCGTCTATAGTGACACAGTCCCTGTCTGAAGACCTTACAGTCTAGAAGAGTTGTATTTCTTAATGTGCCAAAATTTCTGCCTGATACAGACGCCACCAAACTTTGCTGGTTGTCATGTAAATAATTCATATGTTCAAAACGAGAACACTACCAGAATATGTATCTTACCTGAAGCATACTGAGGGTTCCTTTGGTCTGATCCATTTCCATTTGAAGTCAATGGGAATCTTTCCACTGTGGGTATGATCAAACTCCCATAATCTGTTCCATATATAAAACGTATTCTGAAATTACTGATTAAGCCATAATCAAAGTGCATACACTGAACTATGACTTTTTTCCTTGTTTTTTCTGCATGTCCAAAGCCTGTTCGCTTCATCTATAACTTATATAGTTTAACCTTTTTTCTTTAAAGCTTCACACAGCAGCCTGAATTGTCATGATGGAGCAGAACCTTTAATATTTTTATTTCCTTTTGTCCATTTGTTGCAACCTTAATGTATACCTCTTTGGTAGTTAATTTGTAAAATTGTAGGAAATAATTAAGCACGCAAAATACGTAATCGAATATCAAACCTAAAGGTAGTCTTAAATATGCAAGGGACATAAATATTGGGTGGCTGATTTAACTAATTATAGTAGGAAATTTGTTTCCAGATGTGGTTACATGACAGTTTTGTTTCTGTTAGGTCAATATGGCATCTGATATGCTTTCATTTTGGTGCATGGTTTATCTTAAACTTCAGTTAGTTTAGCAAATTCACACACTTGAAACATCACTATCTGTGAAAAATGAGTTTTATATGCATGTATAGGATATAAATATGCACGTATGCAATGTATTTAGAGTACGTGTATGCATGTAAATTTTTCTGTAGATAAAATTAAAAAAATGTATAAGTGTTTCCAGGCTTAGGACCATAGTTTGCAATGTGCCTTAATGCCTATTTCGTATATTTTTTAAAAAAGTACCGTATACACACTTGTTAATTGTAAATGGAAATGTTTCAATCAGTCTGAATAACAAGAACTCCATATATTTTTTGACGATGACATGAACGTAGTTTAAAACACAGACTGCGTCAAAATGTTGTAATTTGTGAGCTCTCTGTTAACATTTAATGACCCTGTCAGGAGGATATGATTGATGCAATTAAGTTGTCTTGCCTGTGTGTTGTATAAGTGATATGGACTGAGAGTAAGAGCCTAATTTAGAACATATGATGGTCTTGTCCTGTTCTATTTGGGAATGAAATTAAATCAATTTATAAATGTCTGTTTTTAGTTTAAAATATGGAAAAAAAGAACATCTGCTTGCCAAAACATTTGCAGTACAGCTAAAAACTTATACTCCATATTTCATACTTGGAACATTTTTATCATAGAGGAGTAAAGTTACAGCTCAAACCAGTTTTATAGGAAATCTAAAAACTTTCATTTTGAGAGAAAATGTTTTTATACTTTAATACTTTATGGAAAAACTTGGGGGGGTTGTTTGATCACTGATGTTTCACTCTTATATTTTTAATAAAACATAACTTCCATATTTCACACTAAAACACTTTAAAAATATTTTTGTAATACTTTTTTTCTGACTTGTATTTCATATGTTGTAGTTGTATTTTATATGGTGTTTGTTTTTTTTTAAGAATGCATTTTCCAAACATAATAGTATTGATTAGTACATGCTAACCAAAAAAGTTTTGTCCTCCTAACTCATCAATGGTTATTGGTACTGTAATCTATTGATTGTTTAGCTGTTGGTCTAGACAGTCATATAGCTTAAAACAGAGATGCCGCTGTATACTGCAGCTGAGGTACTTCAGCTTACCCCTCACTTAGTGCCGCATGTATGGTCCATTTACTTACCCCCTCTATTAATTTTAAAGTTCATCAGCCACCCTGTGGGAAACAAATTATGACAAACTGTGAATTAAAATGACATGTAAATATATTGGGGGCACACTTTCAGGGAATGACCTCAATAAAGTACTGAGTAAATACAACATTTTAAAGCAAACATGAGGGACAAATTGTAAACAGTGAGAAAACTGTCTCTATATTTATCCAAGATGGCTGCTACGATTACTGCTGGAGCTCTGCTGTTGCCTAGGCTGGATGGTATTAACTGACACTGCTCCTAAGGGCTGCAAATAGCAAAGTTTCATTAGAAAGTAACTGAAGCTGTAGCACATCAAGGCAACAATACATTTTTAAAAAAAAACTCTAATATAATGTTTCTACAAAAGTTTTCAATACATAGCAAAATGGTCACTTGACTTGAAAGTATGACCTCCAGTTGGCAATAATGCTGTCAGCTTGTGGACTCTGGGCTTTTTATCTCACTATACATAACACTTTTTTAAAAAACAGGACTGGTAGTTGTCCACATAAGTGACCGTCTATATTTTTCATAGATTGTACTTTTTCTATGAAACTCAGGTCATCTGCTTCTTTTCTTAAATGATGTCTTGAGGGTGCTGCCTGTGTATGAAGTGCTAACCATATCCTGGACTACACAAACTCTAAGGCCAAGGTGTTTATAGGTAATAAACCTGAAGGCTGATGTGCAAGGTATTTATCTGTCAAGGATATGGTGGTTATTATCAGGTTAGCAGGAAGCACCCTCTGTTACTGTTTTTAATAACAATTTGTGCCTGTGTACTTCAGGTTCTTTGGAGAAGGGACTCTAACTTTTTGGATGAATTTTGACTTCTGTAAAGCATTGTGTACCTCTTTGATGCACTATATGTAAATGACAAAGAAGATGATCTTTCACCTCCTTTTTCTCCTTTACTTTTCTTGTATCTGTGCCCCTAGGAAATATTGGCCACTTTTCCCACAATAAATATTTTTAAAAAATAAATCTCATTCTCCCTTCTTTCCTTACTCTGTCTCTCTTCTCCTCAGAAAACGTACATTTCTCATAAACGTTATTTGAAGACTGAATATGATGGATATAGATGTTTTCTCTCTGCTGCCTGCAACCCTTCAGCATGTTTTTCACAGAAACTTGGGCAGAAGGGAGAAGTAGGGTCTTTAAAAATCATTATAATTAATTTTTTAAAAATTAAGTATGCTTGTGTGTAGCTTAGCTGTCCATGTTGGCATCTTGGAGGTGGAGATATGAGCCAAGGTCATGTGGGAGAAACAGGATAGGGAAAAGAGTGGGAAGCTAAGATGACCACTTTTGTTTTGGTCATATGGATGTGTGGTTCTGAGAGCACTAGTCAATCAGATTGCAGCTGTCATACTGTACAGATGTTGAGATTTAACCATGGTCCTGGAAATCCCAGTGCTGTGATCAACTACTTTGTCTGAGCTCAAGGTTTTGCATACTGCATGATTATTAAGATGTAATCACAGCTATGTAAATCAGGCCTCTTCCACCAATCTCAATGCAAGTATTTGCCTACCAGAAAACTGTCTAGAGTGTTGGTCATTCCTGTATTCTGACGTTGGAGAACTCAATTTCAATACAACCATATATATATAAACTTAAAAATACAAATCCTTATAGTGAGCATGATGATCTAGCGATGCTGAATTAAAAAAGCATATTTTTCTCCTAAGAATTATTTGTCCAAGATAAGTGTTTAGTAAAGTAGTAGATGTATATTTTAGGGCCTTTGAACTTTGTGCAATTTATAATTAACTTTTCCAATAGGTCATGGTATCTTGATGGCAGAGTGCTGTTACTGATTACTTCAGTCTGCATTGTTTTTCCTCTTGCACTTCTTCCGAAAATTGGTAAGTAATTTAAGGAAAGAAGATAGTATTATTCTATTTTAGTAGCAATTACAACTGAGGACTTAAAAACCTTAATGGGTTATTTATTTATTTTAGCTGGCAGGGGGTTGGTGATCGTAGGGACTATTTAAGTTATTGTAGCATGTTCTGCCTTCCAGGCCTGCCTAGTTAACCTATTACTTGGGTTGCAATAGTATTTTGTCTGCCATACTAAAATAAAATCTTTACAGCAGAACATTAAAGAGCTGCATTTACTTACAGCATGCCATTAGTGGTAAGCCAGTTCTAATTCTGCCCTACAAAACTACATAAATGATCTGTGACAGGCAGTTGGAATGTTGTTATTCTGAGTCTTAAGCCCCAGATACCAAGCACTGTAATAGAAAACATGCCTAAAATGTAAAGCTTTAGCTGTACATTAGGATCAATTTTCTTATAAATTGCCTTTTATTTTTACTGTTATTTTACAGGCTTTCTTGGCTATACAAGTAGTTTATCATTTTTCTTTATGGTGTACTTTGCTCTTGTGGTAAGTTAAAAATCAGTGCACAGCTTATCTAGCTAACATTTTTGTTATTGTTTAAATGCTTTTATAAGTCTTCCCTTTTTTTTTTTTTTTTTTTTAAATTTCTCTTTAAAATTAAGTGTTTTTTTTTTTTCTCGGTATTCTTTTTTTTTTTGTTTATTTGTTTTTTTTTGTCTTCCCTTTTTTTTTTTTCTTTTTTTAAAGTTCTCTGTAAAATTAAGAGTTTTCTCTGTGTCCCGGCATACACTTTTTTGGACAGGATAAGTTTGTTTTTCTGAAGAGATGAAAATATGTATGAACTTTAAAGCATGTGAAAAGATTTAAAATAATTATATTTTGGTCTGGTAAATGTAACAATATTTTTGTTTTGCTGACACGGCAGTGAAAACTGGCATGTACACTTCATTTTCCTACTTGTGGAATGGAATTCTGTTTTCTTAGCTTCTAACTATTACTGTAACTAGCACAGGAAGAAAATGTCATATTACAAGTAAATTAAATTTACATGTAGAATGAAGTGAGACAGTTCAAAGTGAAACTGCTCAAAAAGAATCCAAGAGAAGTAGAACTTAGGCAATTTATATTAATACATCAAACACCTTCTTTGCAACTGAAAGGAAAACTTCTTTCCTCCGAGCCATTTGGGGGATTTTTGACCTGATATTCCCCTATTGTGGGCTCTGTAAAGGAAACAGAACCAAATATTGGAGCTGAGATCTGTTATGCAGCCCTAGGAAGAGAATTGTGCCTTAGAATTGCATTGCTTTTTACTGGAGAGAATATACAGTTGCTAATGCACAAATGTAATATTTAGTAGGATCAAGAAGGTATGTAAAGAGTCCTATTTAGAAGTATGGCAAAATGCCCCCTGCTTTACTCTGGCTTGCATTGACTTGCACGGCAGACTTATTGTAAAAAAGGATAAACATTGTGGAAAATGAGTCCAAAGAACGTGCCATCCAGGAGAGCAAGGCAACCCATTAGGAACTGAACCGTATGATAAAACCAAACTTCAAAGCTGTCCAAAACAGCTCCTTAGGGGATCTGTCAAGAACTGAAATGCTCTTATGGGGAGGTTGGGAGGTAATCTTCTGCAGCTTCGTATTATGGAGCAACAATAGCCTCTCCATAGTTAACAAGGCTGAAAATGAGTTTCCATTATTAGCTCAGTGTTTGACCTCCCCTCTAAAATACATTTTAAAAAAGCTACCACCCTCAAGAATTATTGGTTAGGTCTTGGGCTGAGGTACGTGCAATGAGTTTTCAAATGCACTCTGTAGTCCTTTTACATTTAAAAGGAAATGGGTGCAGTTTTCAGAAATAAGTCATTACGATGAATGAAAAAATCAGAAAAAAAAATTTGGTTTAAAAAAGAAATGTATGCATAGAACCATAAGAGATTAACATAAACTATAAGCAAGATTCAAACATGGATACTGCAGAGGTAGAAAGCATTTTGGTTCCAGGCCCAGACCTTGTGTGTGGGGCTAGGAAACACTATGTATTTCAGAGATGCGGAGGGTACTACATTTCTTATGAAGCTATACAAATTGCACGTTTCTGCATTAGTTTGTACATGACAAATTAGGAACTACAAAGAAATGTAAGTGAGGCCATATGCCATTATGTATGTTTAAAGAAAAATAATACTGTTAGGCAAAAATTTAAGGTTTTTTTTTTTTTATTTTATTTTATTTTTTTTAAACTGCGACTCTGAAAATCTGGAACCTGTATGAAATGCAATTTAGTTTTCATAGTTAACTACTTTGAAACAGGTGATATGTACTATTGAAATACATGTAGTTTGCACAGTATTAATTTCTGTCATGACCAATGTACTTCAATTTGTTGCAGAAGAAATCTGCACCAGTCATTGGAAGTAATACCCTTATTTTACATATACAATAATTCTGTACAATCGGCTTCATGTACATACTGTCTCCTTTGGCTTTTGCTTGTGAGCACAAATTTAATATTCCCTGCTGCAGGGATAGGCACCATATATTGCTCATATCTTATTTAAGCAGCATGGTCTAGTGCAGTGGTTCCCAAACTGTGCGGCACTCCCCCCCAGAGGGCCGTGGAGGAACATTCACGGGGGCGCGCGGCGGGGCCCAGGCCAGCCCCCACAGTGGGGAGGGGGACAAGGAGGGAACGGCACCCCGTTCTGGCCCCATCTCTGCCTTCAGCCCCACCTCCGCCCCCATCCCCACCTTCAGTCTCCGCTCTTCTGCTGAGCCAACTGCTGTCATGGCGGAGAGCACGGACAGATTCAATTACTGGTAAGGCGGGGGCACAACAGGAAAAGTTTGGGCACCATTGGTCTAGTGTATAGGGCATTAAACTGGGTTCTTTTCCTAGATCTCTGTCCTGCTGTGTGATCTCAAGCAAGTCTCATCACCTCTCTGTACTTCAGTGCCCTCATTTGCAGTGGAAATAATGGAACTTACCTGCATTTGCAAAGTGCTTTGAGTTCAGCTGATGAAAAGTATTTTAAAAGCTTCTAAGCTGCATAATTTAAGACCTGTGTTATTGCTGCAGAGGGTTTTCTTGTGCCTGTGTTGCAAGGTTACATGAATAGCATGCCATATACCCACTATTCCCTCTGGCCACACTTTTGCTGGGGATACTGCATGAGAGTGGGGTGCTTCTAGTCATTGCTTTCTTGAGAATGCCACAGGTTTGCACATGTACCTCAAGAAGAGTTCGTGTAAGTTCGAAAGCTTCTCTCTCTCAGCAACAGAAGTTGGTCCAATAAAAGATATTACTTCATCAATCTTGTCTCTCTAACATGTTTGTACAGATAGTTGGTAGATTTTCAGAGATAAAAGGACAGATCTCTTCCATTTTATCCCTGTTATGAATCTGACCCCTTATTATTTCATGTTTAAAGCCTCGAGCAAGTGATACAAAGAATTTCTAACCTCTAAATATAGATAACTAGAATGGGAAATGTGGACAGAGCCATAAATACAGTGACAGGAAGAGTGCAACTATAATTATAAATCAACTCATGAGAGGGAAAGTGTCATATTTTTTTCCTTAATTTCCTTCTAATTTTCATTCTCACCACATGGAACTGTCAAAACCATCAGTGTAGGTAAAACTCCCTATAGCTTTCTGGGAAATGTTAGGGTTTTGGTTTTGGGGGTTTTCTTTTCCCACTTTTGGCTTCTAATTGCAACCACATTTCTGCCATTGCAATGTTAGACCTATACTCCAGCCATGCCTCCTTTAAGGCAGCCTTTAATATCTAGTTAACTGGCTGGGAATGATGTTGGCAGCATTTTCTATCAAATCCTGTTTATCTTCCTTGCCCAGCTCTCCAATAGACAAGCAGGTTGTTTACAATTGACGCAGTGCCCTGTATTACTGTGTTTATCAATATCCTCATGTTCTAGTTATTTATATAATACCCCAGCTTTTAGGCAGTCTTGAGAATATTAAATAAACTCTGTCTTTACAGGTTGTAATAAAAAAATGGTCCATCCCTTGTCCACTGACATTAAACAGCCCTATAGAGATCTTACAGGTAACATACATGCTATTTTGAAGCTTTTCTAACTTTTTAGTAATATAAGTAATTCTTTCTCTACATCAAAACCCTCGGGTTAGTAATATTTTATAATTTAAAAAATAGTTGATAAATCCTTAGTTCCTTTTCATTCATATAATATTGGTATTCTTTAATTAGCATGATTTTATTAGCTTGAAGCAATGTGATCTAATGTCTGTGGTTTGTAGTCAGTCATTTAATGTCATTTCCCTTATTTTGTGTATGTATCTTGCACAGATTTCAAATTCTACTGAGGATTGTAAAGCAAAGCTCTTTCATTTTTCTAAGGAGGTAATGTGCTGTGTATCTTATTAACAGGTGGGGTGTGCAGAGGTTTTGGTTTTTTAATGGATGTGAACTCTCCTGGCTTAGGGCATAAACCAATGTTTTCTAAAGGAATAGCTGTAGGTTGGGGGTACCCAAATATGCCCCTCAGTTGTTCTCCAGTGTCTCAGCTTTCATTTAAAAAAGTTTCTAGCTGTTAGTTGTGCAGAAGAAAAATCACCCCCCTGGCAGTTTTACTGATAAAACTTTGAGTATAGAACAGCCTTCAGACTTCATTTGCAAAAGCATTTTTTTTAGGTCTTTCAGGTTTCTGAATGCTGTAACCAATTTTTAAGAGACATGAATACTGAATTTTTTAACTAAAAGTTCAGGGCAGGTTAAAGGAGTCAATAATTTGACACAATAATGTTGCATGTTCTAGACAGCTGTACTTATAATTTAGAAAGTTTCATACTATATAAATGACCAATTGTAGTATTTTTACTGACCCTATGTGGCAAATCCTGCTCCTCTTACTTATGGGAGTAGGCTCAGGAACTAAAGTGGAAGTACCTACATGAGTAAGGTGAGTAGGATTTGGCACTTTTGGGCCTTATATATCCAAAAAGAGTCTTGCAGCCCATACCCTCCACGGTCAGTGGAAGATTAACCTTAAATATGACCATTGGTTGATATACTGGAGTTCTTAGCTGAAATGGCCCAGTTTCATGAAAAAATTGGGAAACCCCCATTCTGTAGTATGGAGATTATCCAGAAGCATTAGTCCAAAAACACTCCCATTGATTTCAGGCATTGGATTGAGGCCATGAAGTAGAATCTTAGGTATACTCAAATTAATTTACAGCTGTTTATAGTGAGAAATTATGTTTTCTTTGTTTTCTCCCCCCCCCCCCCCCTTTTAGAGCGCTTATGCCATCCCAACCATGGCCTTCTCGTTTCTCTGCCATACCTCAGTATTGCCCATTTACTGTGAGCTCCAAAGGTAACATATGGAAAGCAAGTAATGTTAAAATATAACGATAGTGTTTTTCTTATTCAATCAAAGTTGTAGAAAATCTGTTCCGTATTTAACTTAGTGCTGTTGAACAATGACAAGGGTTTATCCTTTATATATTAGGTAGGCAAAATTTTCATCTGAGGCAGCACTGGCATTTGCTTCTTAGGCTATGTCTACATTACAATCTAGGGGTGTGATTCCCCTGCTCATATGCACATAATCGTGTTTGCTTAATAAGAGCTATCGAGTATGAATTGTAATGTAGCCATGATGGCATGGGAACTGTCACCAGAGGCACAGCTGAGCTATACCATGCCAAATATGTACCCACTGTTTTCAGGCAGGTTTGTATTCAGTCCAGCTCACCCCTGCCTCTGCTGTCCATGTTTCCGCAGCTAAACTACTATTTATACTCGCGCTAGCTCTCCATCAAGCTACTGCAAATAGGTGTACGCAAGCAGGGGAATCACATGCCTAGCTTGTAGTGTAGACATAGCCTCTGATTATATTTGTAGCAGAGAAATTAGCAAATACGTTTTGATTGTCTACTGGAAAAAAAAAAACAAAATCCACAGACCTTTACTAGCTGATTTTTATAGCAGCCAGAGAGCCTGCATTTGGCCAAATCTGCACTGATATGATAGTCACCCTGTGTGGCTCAGTTGATAGGATACTGGACTGGGTTCTATTCCTGGCTCTGCCATTGACTTGATGTGTCATCTCGGGCAAGTCAGAACTGTGGGGGGAGGGGGGGGAGTTCACCTCTGTGTGCCTCAGTTTCCATGTCTGTAAAATAGGGATAATGATACTTGTCTTGTGTAAAGTGATTTGAAATCTGCAAATACAGGGACCAGCAAAGTATTGGGTAATGTTAAACCACAGGGGTTCATCCCTGTAAATTTCAAGATCATTCTAAAGGTAAACTGCTATGTGTTCAACACCTCAAACCATAATAATTATTTGGGGGGGGGGGGCTATTTTGCATTTTAGTCCATCGAAAAGCAGAATGCAGAATGTAACCAACACAGGAATTGGTCTGAGTTTCCTACTCTATTTTGTGTCTGCCTTGTTTGGGTACCTTACTTTTTATGGTAAGTATGTTCTTAACAGTTCTTTAAAGGTCAGGGATAATAGTGAAGAATGTTCTGGCTTATCATGTATTGCATAGTGCATGTACTGATTCTGCCTGCTCCCAAGGATTTTTTCATTTGATTTGTGTGCTAAATAATTCATTCTGTTTGCACATATATAAAGCCTACTATAGAATGCATAGAGGGGAATAAAATATTTGGGGTATTTAAAATAAGGCCTGAGTTGCACATATGAAATAGTTAAGCCCCTTAAGCACCAGTCCTGCAAAGGCTTACAGCTGTGTCTAGCTTTGTAAAAATTAACTTCAGTATGGTTACTCAGTGTGTAAGTTAAGCATGTATGTAATTCTTTGCCGGATTGGGGCCTTAAACACTATACAAGTAAACAGTTCACTTACTTAATTGGGATTAGTGAAATATCTTCTAAGATCATGCCTACATTCAAGAAGCTTGACATGCTAATTACCATTTGGTCAACCCAGTGCACCTGTAGCACAACATGCAGCATTGAGCCTGCTCTGCCTTACACCAAGGACTGGATCGGTAGCACGCTGACCCTAGGAGCGCGGAGGTGTAAAGGTAGGTTACGGTCACCTTTGCACCCCTCCAAAGCACCGCCAAGAGCAGTATGGACACGTCACAGAGCCCATGATAAGCTGTAGGTTTCTTGTATGGATTTATTTGAATAGAAATCTGTGAGATTAATGAAACAAAAACAAAAGTTTAAACAAACCCTACAAGAAACCTTTACTAAACAGCCTCACTAATTATTTGTATCATACATTCCTCCACACAAAGTGACGTCTTAAAGACACTGCTGCTATCTGCAACAGAAGGGCAAACCAGAGTAAGCACAAACACACAATGATACATAGGGTATGAATTACTGTGGACGTGGGGACCAAGGTGTGCATACTGTTGAAGGTCTCTTTAAAGGACCCTTGCCATTTTAAGGGTGGGGATGGGGAGGGTGGTAGTTATGTTTTGTTGGTGAATTTTTGTACTTAAACAGAAAATGAGGATTTCCAATTATAAACTTGTACATATAAAAATCATCCTACCTGTTCAGCAGACTCCCTCAGTTCTGCTTTTCTGTAGATTTTGCATGGCAGTATGCTGCAGCAGCAGTGTAGTAACTATGCAATTGACGATGCAGTTTTTGACACTTTCAAGTGCCATATTTTTGTAGCTGGGGCTTAAATATAGGTGACTTAATAGTCTTTCTGGTAGGCTTGCTTCTCCCAAATACTTAAACAGATTTCAGAACTCTTAACTACACAATGGCTTTCTTTTTTTAAAGGTCTATCATAACATTGTCAGAAGTAGGTGAGTGTCCATTTAATATAGCAGTTCAGTCTTCCTATAAAATATAGATAGAAGCTACTCTGCATCAGTGTGATATGTCAACTGTGTGACCGTGTTTGCAGTACCCTGTCATATAATGTCGCAGTGTAATATCTTTCCAAGATAAAGTGGTTCAGCTCTACATGTATCCAGCTTTATTTTCACATGATTATACATTTTGTTCATAGATCATGCATGCCAAAGTTGTATTCTCTCAAGTTTCCATCCAGCAATCTGGATCAACTGCCCTCTGCAGTATGGTAGCATTATACAAACATGGTCACTGAAATGCATTACTGACCTGCATGAGGATTCTTCTTTCAAATTGCTTCTCAAAATTCACTCCTCTCATGAAGTTAACATGTGTTAATCTCTGGCTGAGAGTTTTATTTACTTTGACTGAAAAACAGTAGGGGGGGAAATGCTCTTAAGAGAACCCTTGTCTCTCTGGGTATTTTGTGTTATCTGTTTAGAATGTCTGTGGGCTCGGGACAATCTGCCAGTCCTGTTGACCCTTACCAAATAATTACTGATCTGCAGGGGAAATTGCTTTGAGTTCTTGCAAAAAAGCATGCTGCCTCTTCAGACATTAATGTATTTCTGTTGTAGGCACAACAAATTCCTATTATCAATTACATAGTGGAGACTAGCAGTCCCTACCTCAGTGCCTTTGCTATTGGTGTAGGACTGCTCCTGCCAACTTTCTAACCTGACTTTTACTGTCTTCCTGCAAATTAAGGTATTTTTCCCCCTTGGTTCCCCTTTCTCTATTCCCTTTACTGGCTTGCTTGCTTTCTAGCCAGCTGGATCTGACAATGACAGAGCAAATAAATTATGTGGGCTTCCCCTCAAATGATAAAAAGTTCAGGGGATAGCCGTGCTAGTCTGTATCCACAAAAACAACAGGGAGTCTGGTGGCACCTTAAAGACTAACAGATTTATTTGGGCATAAGCTTTCGTGGGTAAAAAACCTCACTACTTCAAGGAGTGAAAGTTACAGATGTAGGCATTATATAATATGTCATGTGTCATTATATAATGCCTGCATCTGTAACTTTCACTCCTTGAAGTAGTGAGGTTTTTTACCCACGAAAGCTTATGCCCAAATAAATCTGTTAGTCTTTATCATTTGAGTCCGGTGGCACCTTAAAGAGCAGCCTAATTCACCTTGCTGCCTAACACCCTGTCAGACTGGTCAATGCAACTTGGGATAGTTCCACCACATGCTGGCTCTTCCCACATGTTTCCAGATAAGCCCCCAGCAAAAGGGGAAAGGAAGAAAGAGCACTGAAGTCATGTCTTGGAGACCATGTTCCTGGTCCCTTATGCAGTAGACCTAATTGGAGCCTTGCTCTGCCTTGACTACAGCCCTTAACCTTTACTTTGAATGAAATGATTGTGTCTCTTTTTTTCTTTTCCTTTCAGGCCTGATGGTATAATGTACATTAATTAAATAGGATTTTTTTTTTTTTTTTTTGCAGAGGAGACATACAGGGTTCTTTCCTGCTTGCAAGCTACTCGTCCTGTCTTCCACTATCTTTAGCCAAGAAGGCTAATTAAATTGCATGAGTGAAACTCCCCCACCCCTGCCCCACCTCTCCATCCCCTTGTCATAAACGCCATTCCTAGAAAAGTAAAAACCAACTGAAAAGCGAAAAAACTTCTCCTTTGAGAACAGATGTTTCTTCTACATCCAGTTTGGAAGGATGTTGACTCTTTGCTGTGTATCTGTAAGTCAATGTGACCAAGAGGCTTTGTTGGGAGCAGAAGCCCACGATAGCATAAATCTGCTAGGAGTTAGAGTAGCGGATCATTTGTAGGGGTGTGATTTTTCTTTGTTTATTTTTTTTTTAAATCATGGCATGTTCCAAGAAAAGTCATGAAACTTGTCAGGATGAAAGGGCAAAAGTCATGGAAGCAAAAGTGAAAGTTGCAGTTATTGGTTTGTTTTCTAAGTAATCATTATTTCCCACTTTTTGTACCAAAAATAGGAGTTGTGCTTGTGCTATAAGAGATTTGAACATAATAGTTGCCATCCCAGATGTGACTTTTGCAAAACTAATCTCTCTCTCCAAATAGTTTTAAAATGGTGGTGGAGATTAGAGAAGAACCCTCATTACTGCTGAGGGAATTAAAATTCTCACTGAATGTTTTCTCACCTGGTCTTTTATGTTGCTTCAACCCTGTTTTCTATTAAATTCTTGTACTTCCCATGGTTTAACTTGGCAGCTCTCAAGCACCAGCCTTTTGCCACAACATCCAATTACTTACACGTCAAACAAACAAATCTCAATCTCAAGTGTCATTAATAGAAGTATGACTTTAGCCAATCATCCCTTCCCCATAATAACTAGTCTGCAAAAATACCGAAAGAAGGTAACTATTAGACAACAGTAGCATATATACATTAGGAGGAATAACTAAGAATTCCTCTTTGAAATTAGAGGCGCTGCAGCTACTTTCCCAAATGGTGAAATTTTACCTTCCAAATCACTTTATACCACATGTGTATGGAAAGCTGAACATGTAAGGTCAATTGGTCCAGCAGAAAGAGTTTACTTCTGAGCAAAAAAGTGTCTCCTAGTTTTCTGTTCTAGATACAAAGAACCAGCTATATGGCACAGTGCCTTGGCTTATTGAATTCCACCCTTTTTTCGTCTGTTCGGACAAATGATCAGGAAGACTAAAAACCTAGCAAAAATTGTTCTGATTACTTCTAACTACTGAGACCCTCATTCTTCAAACTGGAGGTGTCAGTTAGCAAGCCTAGTCTATAGGATATGCCATAGCAGGATAAAATCTTTCAAATGAATTATACCAGGCTTCAGCTTGCTGCTTGGAGCCTGAGAGGGTAAATCCTCATGTATTCCCCATGGATTATTACTATTCTGGCATAAACCAGAAAAGATTCTGATAAAGGCTTATTTGGTCTGAATATTTTTCCTTTGGTCTTAATCTAACAAAGTGGACCCTCTTCAAGCCCCACTCATCACTATTTTGGATATCTTATTTGAAGGCTACCACAGATACCTTGGTTGCAGCTCATCAAGTTCAGTTATCTATACAATGGGCCTTGAGTTGTGCTGTTTTACAGGATAATTTATCATCTGTCTCCTCATCATCTCTTTTCTTTAAGCCACTAAGGGTGTGTCTGCAGTGTAAGTGCAGGGTTAGTAAAACTCGAGTTAGCAGATCTTGGATTTGTTAATGAAGCACTGGAGCATCTATACTCTTGGTAATCCTACATTGGGCTCCAGTGTCTATACTGCATTTTGCAGGCCTGAGTCCAACCACCCATATCCCTGACACTAGCACAATGTTGCCTTGCTTGTGGATTGGCCAGTTAATAGTCTACATCTGCAAAGCCCGAGTATCCCTCTTTTGTAGCCTTTTCTTCTCCATGTTTGTTTTCTCACTTGTACATAGCTTGGTTTCATGACTCTGACAATGGAAGTTTCTCTAGATTGTGTATCAAACATCTATATGTTTATTGTTGGCTTCATTAGGGGCAGGAAGAAATTTGTACACACAGCCTCCATTCTGCCATGGGCACAAAACAGCCTAGTAGTTGCTCCAAATGGAAACTTTGAGAATTAATATGTAGGTGATATATAGTTGTTCTGTTTCTGAATTCCCTTTGATTTATGACATTCTATTTCTTGGTTTTCAGACAAAGTGGACTCAGAATTACTGCAAGGTTATAGCAGGTACCTGCCGCATGATATTGTCATCATGACTGTAAAACTAGGCATGTTATTTGCTGTGATTTTGACAGTGCCTCTCATCCATTTCCCTGTAAGTACTCCTAAAAGTTTTGATGCTGGCATAGCAATTCCATAGTATGGTAATACTAATTCTTTGCAGACTGCAATATTAGTCACATCTAGCTTTGTGTATTTTACTAATTTGTCAAGTGATTGATCAAAGACTTCATACTTGCATATGTTCCATGAAAACTCCAAAATAACAACTAACCACTAAGCTAATTTATGCTTTTTGAGACTGAGCTTAGATTTAAACTAACCCACAGCATTGTTTTTAATTTAGAGAATAAAGTACCGGTATTTCTAAAGTTTATTTGTTTTGATTTTTCTTAAATTCTGTTTTCCAAAGACTGTATGGAGAGGAAAATTGAAGTCAGCAAATAATACTCTGCTGCTAGTGATTTAACGAAAGTTTAATGTAGCTTTGTCTTCACATAGTGTAGCATTTACTTAAGTTTTAGAGCAGTATTTATCATGTGGTTCTAAAATGTAGGGGACAATTCTGTCAGTTTGTAAGGGATTTATGTTCAAAATTTCATTTAGTTTTCAGGATAATGGTATGCCTCTCTGGATGAATGTAACCATTAGCAAATATTCAGATCAAAGTATATCCAACTACTACAATCCATATGCTCTTCATAAGGAGCTAGTTACGTATATTAATGATTTGTGTGTGCACACAATTTTGCAATAATTAAATATGTTTTGTTCTTTAAAGGCTGTAAAGTATGTGTCATATCTTCTATGACATTTATACGTGAACACCTTTTTTTGGCTTTTGTTGAACTACGTCAATAAATGTTTTCCTCTAAAAAGGTCTTTTCCAAGTAAAACCTGAGGTGTACTTTATCAAAATGGAAATAACAATAAGGCTTTTAGAATAAAGTTTTGTGCCTGCTTGAATTTTTTCCCCCTTTTCATTATATAGGCAAGGAAGGCTGTAATGATGATCTTTTTATCTCATCTTCCTACTTCATGGATTTGCCATATCCTTGTCACTTTAGCACTCAATGCAATCATTGTTTTGCTTGCATTGTATGTGCCCGACATAAGAAATGTATTTGGATTAGTTGGTAAGTTTTTTGTTCTTGTTTGGGGTTTTTGTTGTTGTTCTTTTGGGGATTATGGGGTTCTATACTAAAAAGATAACACAATATATCTGCTTATATCCCTGTACCAGTCTTACTACAACTAAAATTTTTCTTACTATCTCGTAAAGGTTCTACCACATCTACATGTTTGCTCTTTGTGTATCCTGGACTGTTTTATCTTAAACTTAGCAGGGAGGACTTTATATCACGACAGAAGCTTGGGGTATGCAATTTTTCATTGTGTTTTTATTGTATGCAAGGATTCTAATGTTAGATACATTTTATTACACTACAGAATATGCTTTGCCTTTTGCACTGCACCCATTTTTAGTAGCCTGAAGTCTGCAATAGTAGTGGAGTTTGTCTTCTGCTAAGTTCTGTTTCCGTTCTCTGGTCTTATTGAAACTAATGTAGTCCACTTCTTTCATGAGCCTAAGCAGTGTAATATTGATCTGAATCCAAATTTCCCCAAAGTCCAGATCTGGAGCTTTAGATCAGATCCATCTGTTTTTAAACATGGCTCTGATATAGTTTGGCCGTGTCCATGTTGTCCAGCCAAACCATGTTTGTGTGGAACACTGTTTATATGCTGTTCCCTAATAAACCTTCCTTGGCACAAGCCCCCTTTTCCCCTAACGTTTCCCACGGTTGATACAACAGCTACAGCACTACCAGTGGTAGTCAATGAGGGAGTTCTAATGCAAACAACATGCTACTGCCTGTGACCATGGTTACTGTCATTTTAACCACCATATCAACTGAGAAAAGTTAGGACACAGTGGTTAAAATGCCAGCAGACTATCTACACTGATGTTTCCACCATTTTTATCTCCCCTCACCCTCTCCTCCATAGGGTTGCACTAGGACTAGCAATTATGGGAAATCTTAGTGGAAAGGCTAGTATTGACACCCACATACAGTTTAAAGTCTTGAGTATCTGGGCCTTCTGAGTAGCTTGCGTAGATTCAGCATAACATCAGCAGAGCTGTCTATAAATCGGTAATCTGCTTACTGTTATAACAATTTTAATGCTGTTGAAAATAGAACGCTGTTTCTAAACATGGTTTCCAGAGGGTCTCTCTCTGTCCACCCTGGCTGCTCTAGCAGTGTTCGGAATGTGTTTAACTAGAACTGTCTTTTAAGTAGAGTTTAAATTCTGTTTCTTAACTTGCTTTGAGCCCCTGTGTGCATAGGGTCAAATGGAATTAATTCCTTTCCAGGAATTTCATTAAATATGCAAAGTTCATCTACACAGTTCCCAGGTGGATAGTGTGGACACACTAAACCAGTTTTGAAAGGGAATTCTTTGTGAAATCATTCCCAAAGCAGGCTTAGCTTAGTGTTCATATAGATGAATATCTTTCTGAATATATTTAATTTGTATTGGAAAGAGCAGCTGTGTTTAAATACTTGTTTATTTTAAACATAGCAGATGATTTAAAAATGTGCTGTTAAGGCCTGTCAATGCATTAGAGGTAGAATTTCTTTTTCATAGTCAGGGTCTTAATAGCAATTCTCAGAAGTATAAATTGAATTCTGCTGTTCAGCATTCACTGTTTGTTCTTCTGTCTTCACAGGCTTGTGCGTTGTTTATTTTTGGCATACTTGTTGGTCTCTTAAGTTTAGCCTTAATCATTTTCAATTGGATTAATCAATAAAATCCCTTCCATTGCTTCTTGAGCTGGACTTGAGAAAGACAATGCGAGCAAAGACTTCCAGCAACATATTGCAAATTCTCAACTGAATGCTGGACATCTTCAAGAAAAAACCCTTCAGGAGCTGTGTATGAAACAAGTAACCATTTGTTTGTTTACTCTCATGTCTGTTTCTTTGACTGGTTTACTTCTTGCACAATTGAACTCTTCCATTGTACAAATATATTAGTCTTAAAATGACTTAACGTTACCCAGGTGAAGAGGTCACTTTATGAGAGGACATTATATAGTGTGCTTACAATGCAAAAATATTTTGTTTAAGGCTTTCAGATCTTAGAGTCAGAGGTTTGCATCTGCATCTGAACCGGCGCTGGCACCAAGAGCTGAAAGGGGCTTATTTCCTGTGTTCTGGCTTGGATTCAGCTGATTTCCCATGAGATGGGCAGATTTTACAAAAACCTTGTGCCATTCATAATACTGGAAGTCTCACAACAGCAGTTATAAAAGGATTTGCATCACTTTCATTAAAATAGCTTGCAAAATTTTACCACCCTCGTATTGAAATCTTGAAACTGATTGGTCTCCACACTGTCACCCTACCCAATAGGAAGATTTCCCCTCCCACCAGCATGTTCCTCTATTTGAAATTGCACTTTAAATTATGTATAGTTTATACTTCAGTGTATTAGGCCTTCTTGGAATGAGTCTGTCAGATAAACTCTGTGCCCTTCTAGGATATTTGATGTGTATTTTGGAAGCGCTAGCAATAATTTTTATTTTGCACTTAAGATCTTCCAGCATTTCCATTACAAATGTATTCAAAGCATTTAGAGGCCTGATTTATTTATTTTTTTAAGCCCCCTAACTTTCACAGGTGTAACTCGGTTAGCTTCCACTGGAGATACTCTCATAAGTATTACAGCAAGAAGGAACCATTATGATCATGTAGCCTGATTTGCATAAGACAGGCCATAAAACTTCATTCAGTGATTCTGGCTTCTAGCCCAATAATTTATGGTTGAACTAGAGTGTGTCTAAATTTTACACTGGTGTTAGTTAGAGAAGAATCAGACTCCAAGAGTGAAATCCTATTGAAGTTAATGGGACTTTTGCCATATAGGACCAGAGTTTCACCCCACATTGCTAAACTCTTGCGTATCCCCTTAAGCACTATTTATGCTTAAAATGAAATCTGAATGCCATTTTCAGCACCAGTTGGACTTCCTCTGAGGTCTAATCCACACAATGCTGAAAATGGTATTGGCAGCCCAGAGCCAACATTGCTCACACCAGAGGAGCTGAAACAGTGATAGGAATGATGGTCAATTTTTAAAAATGTCTTCGTTGTAGAGAATATCCTTTAAAACGAAAACGCTCTAATCTATAGATTTTTATCTTCTAAGGAAGTTAAGACTCCACAGAAATGAGACCTACATAAAGTTAAGTAATTAGACCTCAGACTGGAGCAGCAAGATTTAGAGGCTTGGAAACTTCATTATTTCCAGATGTGATATTTCTTTTAATCTGATTTACTACTTACTTTTACATCTGAAATGTAGAATAAGATACAGAAGTGAAACACTCTAAAGTAACATTTATGCAATTCAGCTGAATTTTGCAACTTTAATTTAAAGTAAACTCAGCTGACACAATTTTCAGTTGTGCAGTTGAGGGAAGTCAGATGCAAAGATAGCTCTGATCACCAGCTCTAGTCCTGGGCCAACAGAGGGCTAAACAGGACTGCTTCAACTTCCAACCACAAGAATGGGTACAGACCATTCTGCGAACCCAGGATTCCTCCATGCCAAAGAGAATTCTCAGCTACCCTTTGAGTCTACTATAGAGACAGACCAATGTGCTGCTTTGATGGAGCAAAGTGACCTGATTAGGGCCCAGGATCTGACCTTAGGAGTTTCTGTAGAATATTTCTCTTGTCTTCGTGAAGGAACATAATATACCTCATGACAGTTTACAGTGTAGCCTTGAGCTGAACAAAACTGTTGGGGAAAGTTTGGGTACCTCTGAACATAAGAAGTTTCCTGCCTCTTTGATCAAGGGATTGGCAGTGTGGATTACTGTGGAAGCCTAGAACAAACAAACATGAAGGAGGCTCTCTATCCTGCCTTTGATCCCTCTTGCAATTATTCCCACATTTTACTCCTGATAAACAAATATCACTATCTTTTCTTCCCATGGTATGTCTTAATTTCCCCCTTCTACTAAATGTTCAGCTGCTCAGATATTTCAATGAGTAGTGTAAAAACCTAAATCTTGGGTAACCTAAACTTAAATCTTGGATAGCTGGTACTGAGCCATCTTGGGTAAATGTGACAGTGGGGACAGTTGTGAATCAACTACTTTTTCTCATATGTGGCCTGATCCAAAGACTATTTGAAGTCAATGAGCATCTTTCTATTCATTTGAATGAGCGTTGAATCAGTCTCAATGTTTACTTGTAGCTTTTTTGCAAGGACACTAATAATCTACAAGAATATTAATCAAAATCAGGGGAATTTCTGTGGGAATTCTTTATTTCACATATTACTTTGCCCTGCTCTCATATCTTAATATCTGGTAATATCTGCAAGACATAATTATGGTAATCTAAAAAAGTATTTTAAACTGCATAGTAAGTTAATATTAAAAACTTAATTGGGTGAACTGGAAAGCTTATAAAAACCTGGCAAGATCTGCAGTTTTCTTATACCTCACTAGAAAAAAAATGAAAGTTGTGCCCAGCATTAAAGCTAATACCCTGCTCTTCTGAAAGGACTGGATTTACAATCGGGTTTGTGTGCATAATTTTGAAGAATGCAGCTAAGGAAATATCTGAAAGCATATGAACATACCAATGCTATATTTGTAATGGTTTCCCATTTAAAATACAAACTTTACACTGTAATATAGGTAAACAAGACACTTTTAACATCGCTGGGTATTGCCAAATAGCTAAGCTTTTAAATGGCTAATACTAGTTTGTGAAGTTAATACTCCATTAAGGGGAATGGAAGCAATTCACACCTCTGTTGGAGCTGTATTATTTCAGTCTAGGTGCAGAGTAGTGCAGACAAGACAGCAGTGCATTGATTTTATAGTATCAGGGTTATCTTCGCAAGGAGAAGAGTTACAAATGTTTCTTTTTAAAAGAAATATATCTATAGGAAATTAAGTTTAACAGAACCTAAAATCTGGAGAAATAACCTGAGTTTTCAGAATACCTACACTTCTATTGTCCTTGCTCATATGCTTGCCTATATTGTGGGAGAGTCGCTGGATAAAAGCTACCATTTCTCTCCCCTCATTAATTATATCGATATTTTATACCATTTTTTTGTCCTCGTGTCATCATTATCTTTAAAACTTATTTACTGCTTTATAAATAAGTTAAATGGAAATAGAGGGAAAAGTGGACCATGTGTTTACTGAGTCAGCACTAATGTAGCTACAGTAACATAGTGATACCAGTACAAATTCGCAGTGTAGCTGCATTGCATCAGTGCAAAATAGGGCTTGCACCAATGCGACTTACAAGAGAGCTGGATGAAAACTTTTCATTGAATTTTTTTTATGAAAACAAATTTTTAAGCAGATTTTTTTTGTATGATCGTTTCTGTTTTTCATTGCTATTTTTCAAGTTTGTGTTGAAAATTCAAAAACCCAAGGAAGAAAAATGCACTTTTCAAAAACTAGGGGAAATATTTCTTTGAACATTTTTTAAAATAAAGTAGCTCTTTCAACTAGCTTCACTTAGCCGAGCGAGCCCCATTTAGTGCTAGCTAATTCAATGTCTGTTAGGTGTTTGCATGATGATGTTACACCAGTGCAACCCCAGAGGGTTTGAACGAGTGATTTTCCCCCCCCCCATCCCCGCGCTCATAATCTATGTATTTTTTTCTGTAGTTGGGTGAGAGTGTGTGTATCCTAAATGAAAATGCTGATCATTGTAAGAGAGATGCAGATGAATTGGGAGAGAGATGAAATGATTTGGGAACATTTTTAGGCTAAATAAAGCATTCTCTCTCCCATTGCCCTTGCCCGCACGTTTTGAATGATCAAATTACAGAGCTATCTGTGTTTAGCTAGGTGAATACGGTATTTCTGTTCTAGTCTCTCGTTACTGTAAATGTTGGAAACAGAGTTAAGGAAAATGAAGTTATGAAAAAAGGAGCTTGCTTGTACTCATTGTAACATGTTTTTAGTTTTTGCGAAATGCTGACATTTTTCTATATTTTAGTCGGTGCTATCTGGTAAGCAGTTTGCCTCTTAATATTTACATAGTGCTTCATTGTCACAGCACTAGAAATGTAATCTAATTAAGATTCTCTGCTGTATATATCCCTGTACGTTTAACACAGTTGAGTCTCTTGTGCCTTTTGTTTCACTACATGGTAGGTCTAAGGCCTTGTTTACATTACTGTGGTAAGTCGACCTAAGTTACGCTACTCTAGCTACGTGAATAATGTAGCTAGAGTCGATGTAGCTTAGATCGACTTATTGTGGTTTCTACACTGTGCTGCGTCGACGGTAGTACCTTAATCTTCTTGTTCCGGTGGAGTACCAGAGTCGACTGGAGAGTGCTATGTGGTCGATCTAGCGAGTCTAGTGAAAGACCCACTAAATCAACCCCTGCTGCATCAATTGCAGCAGCGTCAAGTGTAAGTGTAGTAAGTGTAGACATGGCCTTAGATGAACTGAATAGTCATGTTCTGATGTATATTTTTGTATAACATTCCCATTATTTTCAGTTGGATTGTCACTGAGCAGAAAATGTTTTTAGTTTAACAGCCCAACTATTTAAAGATGCATTGTGCAGAGGATATGGGATGAAATGTATAGTGTTTATTTCTGATAAGAAATGTGGTGGGAATTGTCCCATTTTTTGGAGGATTCTTTCCATGCAGCACTTGGAGTCATGCCTGGCCAGAATTCTGAAGTAATTTAATAAATGTCTGATCAATTTGAATGCATCGTATTTCACACTCAAGAACAGTAGAAATTACATCCTACTAATTATAACAAAATAATTATGTACTGGTGCAATGCTATCGCTTTCGTTTTTGTCACTGTTCTGATAATACCCACTTTGAGATACATGCTTAAACATCTGATGTTTACAATGTTTTCATGAGAGAGAAAACGAGCTTACAATCCTATTCATACATTTCTCGTGCTCTGTGAAAATGTCATTTTATGTGGGTAAAAATAGTGTATACATTTGTTCCCAAAGTTCATTTTTTAAAACACTGTGAAGCACCTATTTTACTGTAGACACTAACACTCAGTATAAAACTGGCTCAGAATCAGGGCCCTTGTTATGAAGACAGTTTTGCCAAACGTGAATTCAGATATTTTTTTTCCTTCTCAGAGGTATGAATTTCTGTGTATGTGCAAATAAACTATGCAACAATGTATGATTGTGGAAATAATTGCATTTAATTTATTTTATTGACTATTAAGGAATGCTGTTAATAGCCCTAGAATCTGCGATATATAAAAAGAGAAAAAGATCTTGGATTTTTTTCACCAGCGTAACTGAGTTATTCAGTTTAATTCAGTAAAATATCAGATTAAACTAAACTGGTGTAAACACTGTTGAAAAGGGTTTCAGTGTACTAAACTATCTAGAGTGGCTCATAAACATGGGTGCTGACCTTAGGGCAGACTGTTACAAACCAGGACACAAACCCCAAATTGGTTGTGTGTTCTATAATTAGATTTCCCCAGCTATCGAGTGTGAACTCCTCAAGCACTATAACAGACCGTCCCCTTAGGCACTCTGGTCTATCTTGCCACCCAGGCAAGCCTGCCTTTGTGACAGATGGTCTCTTACACCAAAAATCACAACAATAGTCAGGTTACTCCTAGTCCCAAAGGATCAGTCACTCACCCCAGGTCAGTTGCACCTCAGATCACACCAGAGACCACGCTTGTAGCCAATCCCGTAATAAACTAACTAAAGATTTATTAACTAAGAAAAGGAAATGAATCATTTACAAGGTTAAAGCAAGTAAATATATGCACACAAATGAGTTGTACTTAGCTGCTGTAACATGCAAGCTCTATATATCCATTAGAGCTAACTCAAGCTAAGCAGCTTGCAGGGGGAACCCTGGCTTATGCTTAGAAATATTGTCCTCTCCAAATTCCCAACAACATAGTGATATAGTTCCGTCTGGTCAGGGAATCTTTATTACTTTCCCCCAGAGTTCAAACTTTAATGGGACGAGGGTTTGTGCACATCCCCTCTTCATGGTTGTGTGGGAGGCAATCAACAAAGTATTTTGGTCACTGATGTTCCACAACGATGTGTCCGATGTCCATAGTTCTTCTTTTGTTGGGCAGGAGATGACAGCTTGTGTTAAACTAGTATTTCACACTTGGTAATGCTTCTCTCCTGACTAGGGATGTTTACAGTTTCATAGCAAACACTTTTATAGTTATAAAGCAAACACTTAAATATCACCTTTTAACATGGTATACAGATATTATAAGTGGGATTAATGCATGCAGCAACTCACAAGCATTTCATAAATTGCAAACACAAAACACATGTTTATAAACTGAACATCTCTTTTAACAGTGCTAACACGCAGGTGAGCCAGACTAGTTTCCAGCTATGCATTTGTCAGTGTTCAGTGAAGCTTAGGGGCCTTGGCATGAGTTGGCACCTGATCTACCAGCATCACACAGTGATTCTAAATGAAAGGTTTGTGCCAGTATACTTAAATCAATGTAGTTACTGTTTCAAGCTGTGTCATAAGTATAAAGTAAGAATGCTGCATGTGGGTAGTATACTTTATATAAAAAGGTGCTCAGATACTACAATGATGGGAGCCATATCTGTACCTAGCTAAACTAAACCAGAACTGTTTCATTTCAAATAACCCTGCTCACCCCTTCCTGCCATCCCAATAACAAACAAGAGGAAGGGGGAGTGAGGTTTAGTTGAACCCAGATTTGAACCACCCACGCTCCTGGCTGTTTTTCTGACACCTCCTCCTTACCTTCCCCCTCATCTTGCTTTCTCTCCCCCCTTCACTTTAAGAAAAGAGAGAGGGATGGAATCCTAGTCCCATTGAAGTCAGCACGAGGTTTGCCATTGACTTCAGCATGGCCAGGATTTTGCCATTAGGCTGCAGCCACAAAATTTTGGTCCAATTTTGGGTCCAGAGTTTGAAAACCTTCTCTCAAAAGTCCAGGTGTATTGAGACTGTGTTCCAGGATATCTTTGTTTGGGTCATATAGGTGTTTATATAGATATTAAATATACATATCTATATCAATATGACCCTTTTAAAAGAAAAAGGGGTTGGTTGCCAAATTGCCACAGATTAAATTTATTTTAATCTTTTTACCTTTGTAGGAGAAATACTTATGTAATATCTAATTAAAGATTCAAAATCAGATCAGCAAGCGAACTGGACAGAGTGTTAAACTATTCTGAGTAAAACAGATCATGTACAATTATTTCTTTGAATTAGGCTTTGATTTTAATTCAATACCTAAACTGAAATTCTAGTTCTGCAATTCAATTTAAAGCTGAAGGAGCTTTAACTGTAGCTCCTTTTTTCCCCCTCCCCCCCCCGACTGAAAGGCTTAATAAGGGTGTAGTTTCTTCATTTGTTTTCTGTTTTTATTCAAGCAAAACCACCAACGGCCAAACATTTCAAATATTAGGTTGTCTAATCCCTAGATCAGTATTTTCCCCAGGAATTGAAATGAGGGGAGGTGTTCGAATTTACAGGGGGGCGAGAGCCAATGGATGAGACTGTGAAGGCAAAGGTGGGCTGTATGGCACCATAGTAAAAACTGAAAAATGTTTAATGACCATTTTTATTAGATTTAAAATAGTCTCACAAATCAAAGTTGGCTACTCAAGCCTTCTGTGAAGCACTACAGTAACTCCTCACTTAAAGTTGTCCCCGTTAACGTTTCGTTGTTATGTTGCTGATCAATAAGGGAACATGCTCGTTTAAAGTTGTGCAATGCTCCCTTCTAAGGTCTTTGGCAGCCGCCTGCTTTGTCCACTGCTTGCAGGAAGAGCAGCCCGTTGCAGCTAGCTGGTGGGGGCTTGTAACCAGGGTGGACCGACAGCCCCCCTATCGGCTCCCCCTATCAGCTCCCCACTCCCCTAAGTTCCCTGTGCTACAGCTGCCCAGCAGGCTATCAAGGCAGTTCAGCTGTCCCTCCCCCCACTGCCATATGCTGCTCCCAGAGACTCTTGCTTGCTGTGCAGGGAGGGAGGGGAGGGGCTAATGTCAGGGTGTCCCCCTCCCCTCTGCTCCTGCACCCCGCTTACCCCTTCTCCATATAGAGCAGGGAGGGGACACAGACAGAGAGAGACAGAGAGAGCTTGGGGCAGCAGCTGCTGTCTCAACTTCCTGATCCATTTAAAAAGACAATGCACTTAAGAGTGAGTCAGCTTACTTAAATGGGCAGTGTGCAACTATCTCTCTCTCCCACACACAAGGTGTGTGTCTGTCTCTGTCTGCTATGCTGTCTCCCCCCTTCATGTTTGTGCTGCCTTGTGTGTGAGGCTACATTAACAACGTGTTAACCCTTGAGGGCTCAGTGAGTGCTAGTTCATCATTTAGCAGCAAGGCATTCCCTGGGAAATATCCCTCCCTCTTCCACCCTCTAACTTCACCACCTCAACCAAGCTTCACAATCATCATAGCTGTGAACAGTATTAAATTGTTTGTTTAAAATGTATACTGTATGTATGTCTCTATAATATATAGTTTTTTTGTCTGGTGAAAAAAATTTCCCTGGAACCTAACCCCCCCCCCCCCCATTTACATTAATTCTTATGGGGAAATTGGATTCGCTTAACATCGTTTCGCTTAAAGTCACATTTTTCAGAAACATAACTACAAGGTTAAGTGAGGAGTTACTGTACATCTACATCTTTCTTGGTTTCTTGTAAATTTGCACAACTCTGTTAATGAGCTTCTTGAATGCAACGTGTTCATCATTGGTGGCTTCTCATGAGTCTGGTACTTCCGGTCCTTCAGTTGATATGCTCATTAGTTCATTCACATGATCAGGCAGAAGGTGACTTCTTTCAGAACACAAACTTCTATTCAATGATGAAAAAGAATGCTCAACTGTAGCTGTTGTGACTGGGAGTAGGAAGAGATGAATGCCTACTTCTTTCATCCCAGGAAACATAACACAAAGATTGGGTCGAGCCACTAGTAATGATGATAAAAAGACGAAGTCAAATCTTCATTCATTCTTCATATGACATTCCACTTTGTGTTCAAATTCTCTATTCTGTCCTAATTACATGGCAGGCCCATTACTGGTAATGCCTCACTCCACTCAGCTGTCAGTGTTTTATAAGACAGGCATCTGTAAAAGCTACATACAGGTTTAGTAGAATCCAGAAGTCACTGTTGTAGATTTGTAAGAATCAAGTCTATGCACTTTTTCAGCTGGCTTAGTAAACACTTCTTGTGCTCTTCACTTAAGGATTCAACATAAGTGCCTTCATTCGTCAACTTCTGTACCTAAGTCCTTGCTCCTTCCAATGCGTTTTCAATGGATAGCTCTCTGATCAATGTTTCTATTGCTGAACAAAGATCTATTACCATTGTAGCAGATGCCTGGAAGGCA